CTCTAGTGCGACGTAAATTAACATCAACATCGGGAGTTGCGAGTTTAGGATTTTGTTTTACCATCGGACGGGGGTAGAATTGACTCCGGGGAATAGTGACGTCACAGTCAGCGTTAGAAGGCTGCGAGGTTAGGAGTCAAGATCTGTTCCATGTCGTAACCTTAGAGAAGATATTAGGGTAGTAGCCAGTCTATTGTTTGGGCTCTGAAAACTTGTTTAGTCCTGCAGTGGACTGATCGTTAAGACACGGTTCCCAGCAGATCACCGAAGTCAAGCATCACTGGCTGCTGTCAGTGTGCGGGTGGGTAACCACTTGGATTAGTCTGCGAAGGGACCGAGGGTGTGCGGTATTGGTCCTCGCTAAACTGTGCTATCGCAAAGTGCTCGACTTCGCGTGCAGGTCGTCGGGCTACTGAAGCGGGGATACCATCCCCTACGCAGAGGATCAAAATTGTGATGGCATGTCTTCGGATCATCCTCAGGGATATTTCCCAGACCATCGCCAATAGCCCATTGTGCAACTCTAGTGCGACGTAAATGAACAACAACAAAACTTGTTTATAGATTGGGGTTACCTTTTTGGCGAAAAATTCTTAGCTGGCGGTCACATCGTACTGGAATGATTTGAAGAGTACCTGTAGATTTTTCTCTCTTTTTTATTTTAAATGCTTACCCAATTTTATTCGCTATTGTAAAAGATAAGTTTTTAAATCAAAGTACATTATAATATGCGCGTTACATTTAATTATTTATTTTTAATTGCTTATTTATAAAAGGCTAATAACATTTGTTAAATATGATTTTACCAAACAATGAAATTAAAATAAGGATTTTTTGAATCCAAGATACAAACCGAATTGAACAGAAGATATTAATTAAGCAATTATAATTAATTTTAAACAATGCATAATTTTTTTTTACTGAGATTCCGTATAATAATAAAAAATTTAACATGGCAACTAAAATAGCAATTTCTTTTATTCAAATATATATATATATATTTATTTATATTATTTATATATACAATTCACCTTTTGCAAAAATTTTTTTATGGTTTTAGTATTATTCATAATTTAAAATTTTTCTAATAAAAGCAAAATGTTTTATTTTTAAAGCAAAAATTAAATATTTAACATTAATATTGCTTAATGCTCCCCAATTTGGGCTTCTGGTTTGCCTGCCATGCAATTTTAATTCATTTTAACCAATGCATACAATTAAAATTTTAGTGAGTTAACATCGTCTTAACCGGAAACTTTGAATAATTTCGATTTCGTATCATGGATTATCTGTGAACGATTTGACAGTGTAAAATCGCCGTAAACAGAGGGATACCCTGGAAGTTTTCTAAATTTCCTCCGATTTATGGAAGCTTGTAATCGTCTACATTCAGTCAATTATCCATATTTCTCCAATTAGGTTCGCATGTAACCTCGACGGTGATCGGTGGTGTTGAAAAAACTAAAAAGCTCCCTTAAAACACTAAAGAAGGATAGCAAAATTTCTAAAAAAACATTCGAAAACTTAATTCTTTTTTTTAAATAAGTATATTTTTGTATGTGGACTCACTGCGAGAAATCGCTTTTCTAAGAATATTAATTTAAAAAGATAAAGCATTTAGCTTTCAAAAATTTGTATAGAAATTTTTTCTACCAGTTTTTGTCATGATAAACTTCATTTTGGCTTTGATGACACAACTTCTCGAGTTTGCTGCCAACCGGACAATTCTTGGCGTGAGAATATACTTCGCGTTCCTCAATTTCAGATGCATTTCCAAATAAGTTGGTCCCGCAGTGGACTGATCGTTAAGACACGGTTCCCAGCAGATCACCGAAGTCAAGCATCACTGGCTGCTGTCAGTGTGCTGGGGGGTGACCACTTGGATCTGTCTGCGTAGGAACCGAAAGTGTGCGGTATTGGCCCTCGTTGAACTGTTCTACCGTAAAGTGCTCGACTTCGCGTGCAGGTCGTCGGGCTACTGAAGCGGGGATACCATCCCCTACGCAGAGGATCAAAATTGTGATGGCATGTCTTCGGATCATCCTCAGGGATGTTTCCCAGATCGTCGCCAATAGCTCATTGTACAGCTCTAGTGCGACGTAAATGAACTACAACAACAACAAATAAGTAGGGTTATAGACGAGTGCCGGCTGCTAAAACAATCTGGCAAAACAGAATAAATAATTATTTGAAATAAATAATTTCTAAGAGGTTTAAAGCGTTAGTTGCGTTCACTGACACACAAATCGTCGAATGAAAATGTTTCTTTTGTGTTATGTAATCTAAAGATTAGATTGAAACATTTAATTCTGTTATTTTATTTTTTCACAACCGGCGTCTTCTTTTGATTCGTTAAGTAGTATTTAATTTGCTAAGCTTCATTTGTTTAATTTCTAATTTTTAGAATTAGTAATATGGCACCTGTGCTTGGATACTGGAATATTAGAGGGGTATATATTTTTGTGTTTAATTTTAATGAATATATATTTCAGAAATGAAAATGAATTTCATCAATTTTCTTAGTATTGGTGTCTATTAACTGGTGTTCATTTTATATTACCGTTCCTTCTTATTGTAATGAGCATTTTTTTAAAGATCGTATTATTTTGTAGATTACGTTTATCTGTTTCAGTTTTTGTTTCAAAATATGTGTGTACATATAACACACTTTTTGATACTGCAGTCAACTTAGATTTAGTATCTAAATATCCATATGATAATTAGGCTTAGCATATCAAAGGAATGGTCGTAAGAGAAAAAACTCGCTATTTAATATTTATTTTCTTAATAAATATTATATATATTTATATACATATTCTTGAAATATTAATTTTTATTTTTATTTAAATTATCAAACAAATTCCACTGCCTGGCAATTTTAAAGCCTTTTTTCATAAATGGCTAGTATTTTAGTATATTTTATAATGTAGATATATTAGTTTGTTAATTGAATTATGAGCATTTATGAATATTTTATGAAATTATTTTAATTTAGATTCAGGGTTTGAATTATTCTCCAGGATTTTTTTTTTAAAAAAAAGCCACTAGTTTTTATTTGAAAAAACGTTTTACTGCTTTTTTTTTTATCCTCACTAATCACATTTTTTATTTATCTTTATGAAGATAATTTTATGAGAAATGTGACTGACATTTGTTTGGAATTTTTTTTAAAAATTATAATAAGTTATTTAACAAACTTCAGTAAAAAAAAAAGGTTGCTGGCAAAGTTGGTTGAAAACCCCAAAACCAGTTTTTTTTTTTGTTTTTTTTTTTTTTGTTTATACCGGGTTTTCTTAATACAAAAGGTTAAATGATATTTTAAGCATCTAATTAAAAGCAATTAACCAAATTAACATTTCACAGATATCTAAATTATTGATTGATTTATATTTTGAATAAGGAATTCAAAAATATTCACTTTTGTTATATAAATATGCAAATAGGAGAAAATAGTATGGATGATTTAGTGTATATATTAAGCTAAGAATTGTTGGTGCTAGGGGTTAAAATTTCTCGTAAAATATCCTGTTTTTATGATTTTTATCAACGTTTGATTTGCGCTATAATATGATATAAAAATTTAGATATGAATAAGAAATGTTTAGTATTGTGATCATGACGGCATTTTACTACAGTGTGAAAAGATTCTTTACGCCAAAAATCGTGTACTCTGTTTCAAAATGAGCAAAACTCTTCCATCTTGAAAAAAATCGTAGATTTGAGATGAAATTGTCACAAAGCAGATTATAAAGTTATTTAAAAGCTTGATTCAAAATTTCCTAAGTGTAATAATGTTGCATCTAAAAATTATTAAAATTTGTGGCTATAACTGAGTAAAATGCGATCTTTAATCCATTTGGGAATGCGGGTGAATTGTTAATGATTATGTGTTCTAAGTGATAATTCAAAAAAACCATATATGATATATTTATTTTTAATAATTTTTTAAAATTTTTTAATCTCTATTTAGTTTAGAGTGTATCCTATAAATATGTATGTATATATATTTTCTCAAGTTAATTTTAACTTTTTTTAAAACAAATCTCTTTCAGTATGCTCAGCCTGCCCGTCTTATGTTAGCGTATAAGGAAGAAAAGTTCGAAGATAAAAGGTATGACTATGGGCCAGCTCCTAATTATAGACAGGAGTGGTTAAAGGTGAAAAATACTCTTGGTTTGGCGTTTCCAAATGTAAGAATTTTTTCTTCTATTTAATTTTTTAATAACTTGTAATTAACTTTTTTTATGAACTGAATCTTTTGGGAGCTCTGCAGTCCATAATTTATTCATTTTTTGGAGTTTTGTTCTAAGAATAATGGGTATCTTTATCCTAAATATTTTTGCACTGTGATAGTAATAATTATATTTAAATAACACTTAGAAGAATATAGCTAACAAAGATAGACTAAATGTTTTAGAACAATAAAAAGTGTCACTGCTAAGACAATGAAGAAATAACAGAATTAATTGAATTACAGCAAGAACTAAATACTGGAAAAAAAGTGACTAGTGTATAGCTGTACAAGCAAGTTTAACAAAATAACTATTGCTATGTAGAAAATAAGAAAAGAAAGCATCTAGTGCAAGACTGTAGCATCCAAGCGGAAATAACTATCAAGATTTCTAATAAATTTGAACACGGGTGATAAGGCCATTAATTTATTAGCATTACTTTTTGAGATAGTTGAGTTTAATAAAAAATGTATTGAATGATAAAAATTAAAAGTGAATTGGAGGAAGAAGATGTTGAAGGGTATTAACAAGAAAAAATTAAGACGAGTGATTGGAGCTTTAGCGATTTTGAGCTAATCTGTCAATAATGTTTGTTTAAAACCGTAATCAATCTTAGTGGAATTAAGCTAATCAAGTTTCTCATTGTGAAAATTTTCTGAACATAATTTAAGAGCATAATAGAGAAAATAACAAATAAAAGGCAGTAAGTTTTGATATTAAAATATGATAGTTCCTATCATTTTAATATTTAGAGTACTGAAAGATGTAATTATTTTGTGGTCAACAAACTCAATATAATTTTTATTTAACTTGATAAGAATTAATCCTTTAACTTAACAAGCATCTGCATACATAAGAATAAACATCTGCATATTTAAGAATAAAAAATAAACAAAAAAAAATCCTATTATTTTAAACATACTTATTCAGCATTAACATTATTTATTAGTGTGCAATGACTTTTGACTTCCCTGATAACACTGAATATTGATCTCAATGCTATAAGATGGCAAATAGAGAGCATGATAGATTGTGATCAACAAAAAAGCAAAGGTTCATTCTTTTGAATAATGCTGCAGAATTTCCAAAAATAGCAGAGGTATTTTTCTTTTAGGGGTTAAGATTACTTAGCTAATGGCTGCCTATGAATGTTAGCATTATAAGCATTTCGGGTTAAGATTGTTAGAAGAAAACAAAGTGAAATCATGTTTTCTTTTCACCAGAAAGTAACAAAAATTGTCTTTTATTTATCTCTATTTCAAGTTAAATTGCTCACTTAAACATGAAAAAAAAAATTGTTGCAATAACGGGGAGGCTAGTAATTTTTAACTTGTTACAAACATAAATTTTTTAAAAATTTTTATTGTTAGTATTTTAAAAAAGGATCTCATAATGTGTTGCACTTGTTATATTAAGTTTAGTATAAAAGAGTCATAATATTGCTCTATAACAAAGCAAAAAAATAGGGTAAATCAGGACAAAATATTTTTTATTAGGAATAGCAATAAAATGTTGACCCTTGCAAAAAATTTTAGAACATTTCTTTTTAAAATGACTATATTATACTGCATGACTATTTTAAATGTTCCAAATTCTTGTTTCAATATTGCCTTTATGTATGCTTTTAAGATGTTCGCAGAAATTGCAGAAACAAATTCTTTTGAGGATGTGAAAAAGGTTTCTTTTTACAAAACAGTTAAGACTATGGGAAAATTTTTTTTTTTTGACTGTAAAAACCAAAGTAAATACTGGTAAAAACCTCACATGGTAGATACCATGCCAATCCTGCTGAAAATTTAAGGTTATATTAATCTATATTTTTCTTATCATGAATGCGTAAGTTGTGTACAATGAAATCTTGGTTAAATGGACACTCTTGGGAGAGATAAAATTGGTTGCTTACGAGAGTTATCCGTTTATGGGTAAATTACACTAATAACGAAGTTTAATACTGTAAATTGTTTTTAGAATAATTGCAATGATATAGAAAAAAGTTAAATGATCTGCAATAACTATTCACAATGATATTTTAGCTTTAAAAAATACTTCTTTCTATACAAAAAGAAAAAGAAATAAACATTAGATATATATGTATGCATAATGTAGCTACAAAAAAAAATGAGGGTTTTTCCATTTAAATAGACATTTAAGTTAGTCATGATACTGACTAGGCGCTTTCAGCTCTGTGTCACTTCCTCAGACAGTTTGGTTATTGGGTTTACATCCCCTAGAATCCCTTCCTATCACTCCATAGGAAATGCGGTAATACCTCGTTAAAAATAAACCTCCCACTATGCACAGAAAAAAAGGAAGCAGCAGTGTATACCGGTAGGGCACGAGTCTCTGTGGAGTTGTCATGTTCACAATTGTTCATCTGTCAAATGTCTAAATGTTTCATTTATATGAACACATCAATNTTTTTTTTTTTTTTTTTTTTTTTTTTTTTTTTTTTTTTTTTTTAAATTCAGCTGTGTTAAATATAGTCTCCAAATTGATAATATGTAGAAAAGAATTATTAGTGGGGAAGAGAAATTTAAGGCATCAGCTTGTGGAGTCTCATAACCAGTATCTTCCAGATGAAAAGATCAAAAGATGCCACTGTCTGAAATATTTCTACCTGAGCAGTATCATTTTCTCTCCTTTCTTTACAAAGATAAAGGTGAAAGGAGACTGATTGCTCTTTAATAGGGAAATAGCTTAATATTTTTAGTTGTGGATATGGTAAAAATTTACAAGCTTTAAAAATTATGGAAAGTTGCATGTTTTTTCCCTTAGAATTTAAGGCAGAAGGTAATATTTTTTTTCCTTTCAAATTTAGAAAAATTCTTGTGCGGTTAGTAAAGATAGAAAATAACTTTTCAGGGCACAAATGACTATATACGGGAGTGTCCATTTTGCAGAGAAGGTACATAATGATTTATTTATAGAAGATTAATAGGGAATCAAAAATATAAGGAGAGGTGTCCATTTTGTAGGAGTGTTCGTAACTGGGGGCTTCACTGTATTGCAAAGTACGAGAAAAATAGACTTAAATTTTTTTTCTGTTAACCTACTTGTAGATTTATAACATGTAATATTTATTCTTTTTTAGCTACCTTATTATATTGATGGTGATGTGAAACTGTCACAAAGTATAGCAATTTTGCGATACTTAGCTAGAAAATTAAAACTTGGTGAGTTTTTTTTTTAACCATTCTAATTTTTTGATATTGTTTTGTAATTTATACTTTTTACTTTTTCTTGTTTTCATTTTTAATCTTATCACATTATTCTTTATTTCCTTTTCTATAATTTCTTCATTCTTTCTCTTTTTTTGGTTCATTGACTAATTTGACTTTCCCAGGTACTAACTATTTAGTATTCAGTCATCAAGTTTATTTGATTTCAACATTAAATCTTGTGAAACTTCCGTTTAAATAATATTAATGCAGATAGCCTAATGAGTTAAAAGTCATCTTGAACTTTGGTAAAACACTTCAGCATGTGTAAAACTATACATAAACTATGTATTAAATTAACATATAAGGAAAAGAAATGAAACAAAAAATTTCAAACACATTTCACTAAAGCTTCTGGTTACTTTTACTTTAATTTTTGAAGTACACACAGTTTTGTGGAACTGCTTGTATATGTTAATGAATAATGATTAAAAAATGTAATCACTGTTTCAAAAGGCCAGTAACTAATAGATATAAGTAGTCCATAAGCTCTTATTTCATTCTAAGACCTTTTTTTGTTCTTTTATCATTTAAACACTTATCTGTAATGGTATATTTCTTCAATTAGCAAGCGTATAATTTCAAGAATATAATTTTCTTTTGGTTATCCATTACTAATTATTAAGAGAACATAAGGATAATTGTTAGACTTGAAGAATCTTAAATTTAAAAGAGCATATTATCTAAGAGTTTGTGTGTGTAGTTATTTGTATACAGTACAGATAGGGGTACCGGAATAGGAGATTGCTGTGATCTACCTCCCGAAAATTTTTATTACTCGGCAAATATTTTTGACAATTTAACAAATTTACGAACATTTATTTTTTCTCTTTCTATTCAAAAAACAAAATGAAATTATTGAGTATTACACCTTTATTGGTCTTTTTTGATGAGCAACAGTTTCCATAAGTATTATATCATATACTTATTCTTAATTTTTATTAACTGGGGAAACTTATCTTAATTTTTAAATGCATAAAAACTTTCTACAATTGCGTAAACAATACAAAATGATATGCTTAACTTACTTTCAATACTTATTTATCAGTACTTTAGATTATCTTTCTATATTTTTAATTAAAAGATAAGTTGTCTCCATTTCAGAAGACTACCAGTGAATGTGCTTCTCACTGCCATAACTCACAAACTATTACATGAAAAAATATCAGATTTTGCAAATTTATTTTTCGTGATTCATAATTCAGTTTAGCAAAACCTAATAGCAGAGGAATTATGATTTTTGAAAGTCGCATATCCTTATGATTGTAGATAAGTAATTAGTCTCACTTTGTGTAAATTTATAATTAGTCTTGAAGTAATTTGATAATTTTGATTAACCATTTTTCGGAATTTTGGAAAATATAATCGCAGTAAAATAATAAACTTCTGTAACCATGATACTCTTGTGAATAAAGATAAAAACTACTTCTTTTGATCTTTTTTTAAAATTTTTAATTTGCTTCGGAGATATTCAGTTTGAAAATTTGATTATTTCTTTTATAACCTGAAAGATTAAGAAAAAATTCCATAATTTCAGTCTTTTGTATATAACAAAAAAATATAATTATTGTCCAATTTAAATCTTTATAATTTGAATTTTTAAACATGTATATTTGGTTTAAATTAATTTTTTTTTCTAGCTTGAATTTGATTATTTAAAAGTATTAAATACTGTGTTAAAAATAAACAAGTCAATTTATCTTCTTGTAATTTGAATTTTTATTCCTTCGGCTACAGCTGGTGTGTGGTAAAAGTGGATCATTTTCTGAATATTGAATATTTCATTTCTATTCAGTATTTCATTACCATTCTATTTATTATTCTATTTATTATTCGATTTATGGTATTGTGAAAAATTATTTCTTCATTTTAGCTAAGAATTAATTTTTTTTTATATTTATCAAATGATTGATTATTTCTTTTATTGATTTTGAATAAAACGTTCCCCCAATAACCTATTGTGAGTTGGTGGGATCCTGAAGGTTAAGATTCCACAATTGTGTACCCAATGTCCTGAATGTGGCAATCTGGTCAGTGTTATGCTTAGGTTGTGGACTATAAGCCATCACTGATGTAGGGGATTGAATTCCAGTTAACCACAATAACTAATCAGTGTCTTAACCACTAAGCCATCAAAGCTTTTTTTATCAGTAAAATTAGTTAAGTATAATATTGGTAAATCAGCATTATGGCAAAGATTAACATATTTTGAAAATATTTGCTGCAAACTAAGTTTTTTTATTGAAGCAAAAGAGCTTCGCACTTATTTATGATTCAGCCAAATTAGGAATTTCATTCGGAAAGATGAGCTTTCCTCCCCTCCCAAAAATATTAATTCCTGACGCTTCTGACTACAAAACTTTTCAACCAGTATTTAAAAAAAACCTGGAAAAATTTGCTTGGTTTTATCGTCATTTTGAACTAGATTAATTGAGGCAAAATGTGGAAATTCCAGTCCTTGTAATTCAATAGAAGGAAAGAGAAATTTTTTTTTATCCCTTCTTGTGGAGAGACATCTTCATTATTTCTTACTTGATCTGGAAGATTTTTAGGTGGGACGAATTCTTTATTTTCTTTTGTGTATGGAAAAGGTGGTTTTCGATATGCTGCCATCAATCAAATGTTTTCTGTTTTATTTACGATGGGCAAATACTTAACGCATGTATCAGTGAAAAACAGGTGGAGCAGTGCAGTAATTAAAAAAACAAAACAAAAATATTGCTATTATATGAATTAATAAAGTAAAAAAAATGAAGTGGAAATGCAAATTTTTAATTGTAATTCATAAACGTCTATTTTTTATTCAATAATAAAGTAGGAATATAGTTAGTTGTACACTAAGAAATATTTTATCTGGATGCAATTAAACTAGACTGGAAATATTAAATTAGAATGACTGATATAACATAGTTGAGTTGTATTGAATAATCTTTTAGCGATCTAGAAAACCAGGAAACTCAGACATTCAGCATGGTGATGGTCCCAAGCATTCCCTACTGGTTCTCTACTATATTTGAAAATTACTGGGATGTCTTGATATAGTGTCTACATCTGTTTGCAAAATGCTCTTTCAAAAAAAGAAAAAAAAAAGAAATACAACCAATATTCAAGCTAATGCCCCTTATATATATTGTCAGCTTCTTCCTTTTTGAAGAAAAAGTTTCTGTTGCAGATTTGATCTTAGAAGGCAACTGATTCAATAATCTAGTGATTTTGTTATTGGCATTCACTGTAATTATTTTTATATTTATATATTAATTTACAAGTGAAACAGATTAAGTCAAGATTTATGTTTAAATTGTCTTGTTAAATATTTCTCATCTTTACATTTTTTTAAAATTCAAATTTGTTTTATATTCTCATAATACAGTATGGAACAGATGATCGGGACCATCGCTATTCCGGATAACTGATTTTTCCGGCTTTCTGAATCGCTACAAAAAGCCGTTTTTTTAATTGTTAAACCCAACTAAAAAAAAAATATTTGGAAATAATCTTAAAAGAAGAAAAAACGATGAAGTAATACAGTAATGATTATTTCTAAAATGATGGTATGGTAAACATCTTTCAAAAAAGAAAGAAAAATCCTAAAATCTTATGAAGAAAAAAAAATCTTTTTTTAAAATGTCGGGAAAATTTATCGAATTTCGTTCCGGTTTTTTGGTTTTCCGGTTTTCTGATTTCTGGATAACGGGTTCTGTACTGTATTAGAAAACTTTATTTTCAAATATCTCAATACTATAATCATCAACTTTGCATGTTTCACTTATAACTTACTCTATATTATGAAATGAAACTCAGAGAAATACTATGAAACCTCTGGAATTATTTTTCTTTATATTGATAAAACAGAAAAATGTTGATTCATTATTAGTTTAAGCTGTTTTATTTTTTGTATAGATGCTGAAACTGAAGAAGAGCGAATAAGAACTGATCTTATTGAGCAACAAGCAATAGATCTCAGAGCTGGTTTAGTCAGCATTGCCTATAATGAAGATTTTGTAAGTTAAAAATTCATAAATGAAATAACTAGATTTTTCTATGATAATTTCTTTGTTTAAAAATAAATAAAATATAACTTGCTATACACATAGCAGGGATGCTAAGCCTGCGCCATTTGCGACAAACTGAGACAAAACGGCATAACTGCGCCATTTTTCGACATTCAGCTCAGTTTCTGCCAAAGCTGCGCCATTCTGAGACAAAACGTCCAAAATTTGGCAAACCTGAATTCAGTTTCAAATATTAATCCGCTTTGCCGTGAGTCATTGGAGATCATTTTGCCGTTCACGTCTCCACGGGATGAAAGACTTCCACGAAAAAGCGGAAATCCGCTTTTTTCTCCCAATTTTTAAAATTTTCGACCATGTTCCAAAAACTAAAATTTTTAGGGAGTCCAATTAGAGAAACCCAAGCCGCCGGAACGATAGTCGGATTCCCGCGACTTCCGCTATAGAGTGGAAAGGAGTCTAAGTGTTTCGTTTCGACCACCGATATATGATTTTTTTTTTCGTTTGGCTGATTTTCGGAATTTTAAATATTAGGAATTGCGCTGGAATATGCTAAAATCGCGATTTTTAATCAGACGATTTTAATATCAATCATCGATTTTCGTATTTAACTTATTTAAAACTTATGTGTTGCGACTTTTTTTACGCTGTTTAAAAATCGTACTAGCAATTCCTATTCACTCAATTTAAAAATTCAATATCGCGATCTGTATTCCCGCGAGTTTAAAATCCAACGTCGCGATTCGTATTCACGCATTTTTAAATCCAATATTGCGATTCGTTATCACGCAGTTGTAATATCAGATCTCGTTTTTCGTATTTGTACGCTATTTAAAAATTACTCATTGCGATTCGTATTCACGTGATCTAAAAATTATTCATCGTGATTCTTATTTACGCAATTTAAAAATTCAATATCGCTATTTGTATTTTCGCGTTTTTAAAATCCAACAGCGCTATTCTTATTCACGTGATTTTAAAATTCAAAATCGTGATTCATATTCACGCGATTTTAAAATCCGAAATAGTGATTCATATTGACGCGATTTTAAAATCCAATATCGTGATTTGTGTTTTTTAAATCCAGCTGCGCGATTCATATTCACGTGATTCATATTCACGCGATTTTAAAATCCAATATCGTGATTTGTATTTTCGTGTTTTTAAAATCCAACAGCGTGATTCATATTCACATGATTTTATAATCCAAAATCGCGATTCATATTCACGCGATTTTAAAATCCAACCGCACGATTCATATTCACGTGATTTTAAAATCCGATATCGTGATTCATATTCACTTGATTTTAAAATCAAAAATCGCGATTCATGTTCACTCGATTTTAAAATCCAATATCGTGATTCATATTCACGCGATTTTGAAATCCAATATCGCGATTCATATTCACGCGATTTTAAAATCCAAAATCGCGATTCATATTCACGCTATTTTAAAATCCAATATCGTGATTCATATTCACACGATTTTGTAATTCAATATCGCGATTCATATTCACGCGATTTTAAAACCCAAAATCGCAATTCATATTCACGCAATTTTAAAATCCAGTTTCACGATTCTAGAAAGAAGTAGAATTAAGTTTTTTCTTGAATTAGTTACTGTAAAGATGTGATATATTTTTCTACAGTTGTTGCATTTAAACAATTACTAAGTGCATTCATAATCACATTTTATGATTGTATATTTAGCTATATAAATTAAAAGAACATAGTCAACTAACTAATCTTGTGAATGCAAGAAAGTACAATCTACTAGTCAATGCCAATTAACTAAAAAGTTTACTTTTATACTTAATAAAGGATGCAAGTCATTTTAGAAAGAAAATTATATTTATATGTGTCTTTTTAAATTGTTTATAATAGTTTTTAAATATTTCTGTTTTGATATAAAAATGTATATATGCTAATTTTTGGCTATTAAGTGCTCCCTAAAATTTTCTTGAAAAATTCCTACCTAAAATATTTCAAAATTTCACTGCACCTCCTGAATTCTATCAAAGAGTGTTTTTTTTGTGTTATTTGCATTTTCTTAAACTCTCATTATTTAATTACTGAATTTCTCTTTTAATTATTGAAATCTGTAGACCTTTCATTGTAACTGAATAGTTATATATTTTGAGATGAAATTTGAGCTCAAAATAAAATGGGTATTTTCCCTTTTGAATTACTGAAACTAAATAGATATTTCTTTTTAGAAAGTTAACACCATTATATTTTAAAAAATAAGAAAGTTAAAATTTACTTTGTAAAATTCTGGAACAGATACTATTCATTGGCATAAATGATAAATGCAATATATATGAAAACAACAGAGTCCATAAAACAATTTTGTGGACTCTTATAATCAATCATATGCAGGTTTTTTAAAATCCTAGCAATAGTGAATGTATGTATAATTGTAGTACTCCTAGTATGCTATTAATGGTTTTATGGATCCTGAAAATTATCTTTATATTGTTATCAAACTGATTAATAATCATTTTAGCTGAGATAAACTGAGTGAAAAAAATAATTTTAGCTGAGACAAACTGAGCCAAAAAGAGATTTTAACTGAGACGAAATGCAATTTCTGGTGAGACAATTTGATATTTTGCGAGTAGCATCCCTGACATAGCTATTTAAATACCTACCTTACACTCAATATATGTGCATTTCTGGCCTGAAAAGTTCATGGGTTGCATTGGAGATAATTTTTTTTAATATCTAATTAGAAATAAATTTATGCATTTGTTAAATTTTTGTCAAATATATATCACTTTCTTTTATAAATAAATTTATAAAGAATTTTAGCCTATATTAGAATTATTTCCCGCAGAAATTTTCTAAAATTCAGTATCCTGATGGATCTTAAACTTTATGAACGAATCTGTTTGTCTTTAGACAAGAATAACATAATTTTAAGTTTAAAAGTGACATATCATTATTTTATTTGGTTATTTTTTATCATAATTATTGTACAATTATCTATATGAATAGAAAATCTTTAAAAATGTTAGTATCATTGCTGGGTAAAGAAATATGTCTTCATAATAGTAAATCTTCAAGTTTAATCTTGTACATTTTTTCAACAACAAAAAAATAAATAAATAAACAATGAAGTTAATTGACATTAACTAATGACCAATTTTTATTAAAAAAATACATAAGTTTTTACTTATGTTATAAAGTGATAACAATATTAGATATAAATCTGTGGGTCAATTAAATATTTGGTTAACTCAAACATTTACTAGATAGTATGTATTTCACTTTTGTGAAGTTCATTGCATTTAGTAATATACAGCATTTCATTTTAAGTGTACATAGTATTATGCACACTAATTTCAAAGACACTTATTATTTGAGCTAAACTTGAATTATGGTCGTAAAAGATGAAAGTAGTAAAAAGTAACTAAAGATTAGCTTTTATTTTTAAGTTTTGATACAAAAATATTTTAAAAATCTTAAATATGAACCTAAAAGACTAAAGAAAAGTTCTGGGTACCCTAGTGATCCGCCCTCTTTTCCTTTTCCTCTCTTTTTACTCCTACTTTCCCCTTTCTCTTCTCCCTTGTCCTGATTGCCAAATTAACTGGTAAGGGCTTTTCTTTGTGTTTGATGTACCAGCCTGTTGTATCAGACCCTGATATGAAGAGATGGTGTATGGAGACTAGTGTCCCTGGAAAAGGGGATCCTATTAGTCAAGGGGCATTCTGGTACCCCAACCCACTGCCTTTGCCTGTGCTTCAGGTAAACAAGAGGTGCGTATTGGCTTATATGCATCAACTGACTAGTCACTAATGCCATCTGTTGACTAGGTTCAAGCCCGGGGAAACTTACTGGGCACCTTGTCAAAGATGGATGCTGCTACAGGGGTGACTTGCTAGCGTTATAGCTATTGTTCAGCATCGGTGTTAAGTAACAGATTCCTTTCTGTTACTTCCCCTTAGTTGGACTCTGGTGAGTGATGTCTCTGGTACTAACATTTTGTTTGTCTATGGTGAAAATAACCAGATTTTCTTTTCCGCACACCAAAACAAAAACAGCCCCTTCACCGTATGTTAATGTTTATTTTATGATGACATTAAATAATCCTTCTGAACCAAAGTCATCTTTCAGTAAGATATAATACATGAGGTAATGATACATACAGTAAGATATAATGCACACTTAATACACTAGGTACTACTTATGGTTTTGGGAGAAGTAGTCATGATAAAGATAGGCTCTTGGTCATGCTATGTTTCTTCTATCACATCTACAACATCTCCTAGACAAGTCTGGTTGAAAGTCACGAGGCGTATTTCAACAAGTTTTTATTTCGCACTGTCATCGGTATTCTCATCATTTCTGGATTTATACAGATTGCTCAAAATCTCCTGGGTATGTTGGCTGTGGTGTCATCATTGGTGATGCCACATACAGCTACCTAATTCCTGAAATTTGCTCCATCTTCACTGCTAAAGCTGTTGCTATCCTATTGGCACTACGCCTAATTTCCTCATGCTCTTACTCAGAAGTATTGTATATACTCTGATGAAAGAGCATTTTGAGCCAATTAGAAAAATTTCACAGTGATTATCATCCAACCTTATGTTTCTTTATTAATTTATTAAACATTATTCAGGAGAATGGCTTTCAGATTTTATTTTACTGTATATTGAGTTATGTTGGTATTCCAGGGAATGACTTAGCTAAGTCTGCCACATCTATTTTAACTTTGTCCATACCTCTCTCTGACGAGAAACTACACATTCTAAAATTTATAACATTATGACAACAACACATCAAAGTTTTTGATTAACTCAATAGCATTAAATCTGATTTAGATCCCATGAAAGTGCTGCCTTTGTGTAGTGCTGTCATAAAGCTAGCCAGTCTTTGAATTGGTCACACCCAATTGACACTTCTTCATTTGTTGCTTGGAGAACTTCCTCCATGCTTGTAACATTCCTCTTACAATTCACCATGTTTTCATAGTGTGTCCATGTTTTAAAGAGTATAGTTAAAAATTTTTTGGGAGTTTTATTTTATGCATGCAGGATTTGTTGGATGACATTCATTATTCCAACATTTTTCATGTATGTATGTGCTGTTGGTATTTTTAACTGTATATAAACGTTTCCATGCATTCACAATTTTATTCACTTTTGGAAGACAATACACAATTTTTCTTACTTCCTGTATTTTCTATCATATACATACTTTTTATTTGATTTTATTCATACCTTTTGTCTGATTCTATTCCCTACTTATACCATTTTATGAGTTATAATTGTACAACAAAGTGTTGTACGCACTTTGTCTTCTGAACTGTTTCACCGTGTCGTTTTGCGCAGCATATCCTCTTTTGAATTTTTTGCCACTAAACCCTACATTCAAACCAATCTACAAGGTGTATGAGCATTGCACATTAAGATTTAGCTAAATAAATTTTTTCAAGAAAGAAAAATTATTGATAAATTTTTTTCTTTCAAAATAATATCTATTAAGAGATTAAACATATAACTTTTTAAGCTAATGAATGCATTTAGTTTTTACATGTATAACAAGAGTAATTTAGAATTCTCAATGAGTTTATTTAATAACTAATTTAGTCCTCATTTTTTTCTTTTTAGGCGAAACTTAAAGTGGACTACTTAAAAAATCTACCTCTTTCACTTCAACAATTTGCTGACTTTTTGGGAAAGAAATCTTGGTTTGCTGGAGATAGGGTAATTCTAACTCTGATTTTTGTTGTAACTTAATAAATTGAATTTAGTTATAGTCTAATTTTTTATCTTTTTATTTTTTCAGCTAACTTATGTTGACTTTTTGGTGTATGAAGTTTTGGATCAGCATCTTGTCTTGGATCCTGACTGTTTGAAGCAGTTCCCCTCTTTGGAAGGATTTCTTAAGGAGTTCAAGGTAAGTAAACAAATTATCTTCTACTTGAAATTTGCAATGGTTTCTTCGTATTGTGTACCTACTGAAGAATACAAAATTTTACACAATTTGTGTTTGATATTGATCTGTTTTATAATCTTAATTTCTATGGCTAGCCTAGAAAATGTTCCAAAGATTTGTTAAAGAACATATTTGCTAAAGTTTTTTCTCAGTTAAATTTCATTGTTTAATAAGTTGAAATTTTGATAAATTTTAACTTGGACAATTTTTTTAATGTTAATCTATAATCATATTTGTTTGTACATTGATTTAATAAATTTTAGCTGTTACTAAATTGCTGATGCATTCCTACCAGCCCTCATTTTGAAAGATTTATAGCAAAATTGCTGAAAAAATAACCTGAAATGCAGAAGATTTTAGGTTTCTAATTTTTTATTGAAAGAATCGCCAAAACACAGTAATTAGAACATAAAATTCCATAAGTGGAATTCAGTGATTTAACAAAATTCTGAAATAAAGAAAAATGTCCCTTTTTCTATTATCAGATGCTTAACACCTTATACTTTGCATTTATTAATGACTAACGACATCAATCAGGTTAAAGCACGGCTAATATTCTAGATGTCGTTGTATAAGCAAGACATCAGAGTTAATCTTCACCCATATTGATAAATATTTGTGTGGATTTGGAAACACTTATAATCTTAAACTTTAAGTGCTGTATTCGTAAATTTTTTTTTTTTTTTTTAGTTTTAAGAAAACAGCTCAACTAATCTAGTCTACACTAAGGTTTTGAGAGAAAAATTCCCTACTTGATATCTCTCTACATAGAGATTGTGAAGTAGTATTCGGAAAATTTTACAATGTTACCAAAACAGAGTATTTATCATGAGAGTTAGTTCTATTTATTTTTTTTGTAGGCTAAATATTTAATTTCCACTTAAGATTTTTTAATAATTATTCACAGGTATGCATTTTTCGGCTAATTCTCAGACCAATTTATATTCCGATAAAATTTTCTCAAACTTCCACTAGTCTAAAATTGGAATTTTGTTGCTTACACAAAATCTCATTAACAAGGTATTCATTTTGCCCTCACCAGCACTCTCTTAAGTTCTCATTCATCTGCAATGCGTTATTTTTTTACACTTAATTTTGTTTGAGAAAAACTCAGCTTCTGATAAGCTGAGAAAAAAAAATTCCATAATAACTTCGACTAGAATTAATGTACTAATGAGGAAAACACAAAAGAATAAAATTGATAATCTTAAAAGTATATCCGAAATGGCAAGCATTTAAGATTGTTTGTTAAAAAATTTTTCTTAAACTTATATTTGCATTTGAAGGATCACTTTTTGATGCGGCCTTATTGGTTGTTCCAATAATTTTATGTTATTATACGAGCGATTAATACTCACTTGGGCCGGATCAGGCTATTGGTCGAAAATTACATCACTGTTTGGGGGAAAGGAGATGGTGGCTATTGGCTGGTGTTTGTATGATTTTGGCGACAAATTTTGTATTAGCATGTGCTTCGGGATTTATTTCGTCGTCGTTAGGGTGGGGGAGATAGGTAAATGTCCTCTTCAGTATTTCAGACAATATTTTTGTTTTAATTGATTGAAATTCATGAAAGCTAAAATAAATAAATATAATGAATGTTTTTGCAAATATAAGATGGTGGAGCAATATTACAAATACGTTTTTTTTAATTGTAGCTTTTCCTTGAGAATTTTCTTTTACAGTTATAAAGTAACGAAGTTGATATAAATATAAGCTCAAATTTACTGATACATCTTTATTTAGTTGTGTTATGAATAATTTTAAAAACTTTATAATCAAACAACACTTAAATTTAGTTCAAAGTAATGACCAAAATTCTGTGCTTAGCTTCCCCCCCTCCCCCTGCATTTCTAGATCAGCCCCAGTTGCCCATGACGTAAAAGCAGTATTGCTTAATATCACTTACTTAGATTCTAATAAAAATTACCACAAAACTGTTCAAAATGTGATTATTGTCTTTATTACTCTTTGATTATAATAAGTATTCCCATTCTTAGGACATTTCAAACTTCCAGTTTTTACACCAGCTTTATGAACGTTTCTTATATGCTCGCATAAATTTTTATTTCGTTTAAATATTTTTTCGTTAATCACCTGATTCATAATTAATAATAACAAGAAAAAATTAATAGATTAAAACAAGAAACATTAATACCACGTGTAAACAGAGCTCGTTTGAAAGCTAGATTTAAAATTTGTAGCCAAATCAAGATATGTCGCCAATTTACTATGCAATACACAGCATGTCCCTTCCCCCAAACAGTGATGTCATCTACGACCAATAGCGTGATCCGGCCGAAGTGAGGATTAATCGCTCGTGTTATTATTGCTATGAATTTCCTCCTTTTTTTAATTCCCTATTTGAGGTAGCCCATTCATTAGATTTCAGTGTAAATGCGCTTGATTTTATTACTTATCTTTTTTCAGTTATTAATGGAACTCTCCAAGTGCAAAAAAAGATAAATATGGATTTTTTTCCCCTTATATTCTTAATATGTTGATGTGTATTCTTAATATGTTCATTAGATAAAAAGAATTTTATTCTTTTTAAATTTTATAAATAGTAGTTTTGTGCTTAAAAATGACTATAATACCAAAAGAAAAACAAATCCTTAAAAAAAACTACATGCTGAGAAATTTGCAGATTATTTCTTTGACCTGCTATCACATGTCCATGTATGTATCTACATAAAGATGAATTTTTTTTTTTGATCAGGAACATATTGAGATCTTTCATTTTAGTAAAAACTTAATTTGTTCACTGTAATAAAACTCTTATCTACTCTTTTAGGGTCTTCCAACTATTGAGAAATATATGAACTCTCCAGATTTTCTCAGCTTCCCATTGAATGGTGACATGGCATATTTTGGCTCAAGACGTGGCCAAAAGTAAAGATACACCAATTTCATGCGCCTGCTCAATGGCAATTCTGATTTCATTCAACTTTTGATTTTTTTTAAGGGATAATTCTTTGTTAAGATTTCATATTGCTTCTACTTGTAGTTAAGTTTTTGAATAAGTGTTCATTTTTTCTACCCTTTTTTACTGTTTTCTATGAATGATACTTGTAAAAAGTATTGAAACTTTTGAATAAAATATCTTTTTTTAAGTTATTTTTATTTTTGCATATAAAGTGTGTTTATTCCAAACTAATAGACTGCTTCTGTTTGAATCTTTAAGCTATAATAAGTAGAGTAAGTGCATTGTTTTATTTCCAGGGATCTGTCCAGGCCAAATTTACTACCATTTAGTGCTGTACCTTAACAAATTCAAGTTTAGGAAAAACTGTAGTTTCACAAAATACTTTTTCTTAAATTTTATTTTTGCATCCCAAAAGAAACGATAAACCTATATTTTTACCATGTTTTTGTGTTGATTTTTTAATATAATTTTTAATTTTCACAACTTATAAAAAACCTAGATAGACCCCTGATTTCTCCTCTTGTCTCTCACATCAGACCTTCTGTCACATGTAATATCAGCAGAGAAAAAAAGGGCATCATGTAACAGTTTAGATAAGTTCTCATATTTGGTAGATCTGTGTATTAAAAGAGCTTCAGGTGTGTTGAGCAAAGTAAAATATTGGATCATTTTACAAGACATTTTAGAATTCTAGTATTTTAATAATTATGTATAATATGTATGAAACATTTTTACATAAGTAAGAAAAGCTTTTGAATAGTTTATTATAGTAAAAATACTTTATCTCGCTCTAGAGCAGCACAATGGGCTATTGGAGGCTATCTGGAAACATACCTGAGGATGATTCAATGACATGCCAATACCTTAAATAACTATACAAAATTCATTTCACTCTTTTAAACCTTCTGATTTTATTTAAACTGTACACCTGCAATCATAAGGTTAGCCAACTATACTACAGCCGGTTTTCATTGTTTATGTATATTCAGGGTGGATACTTAAATCAAGTTTCAAATTTCCCTGATTTTTCCAGGTAAAAATCTTAAAATAATTTTAATATATCATCTTGAAAAAATAATTAGACTAAATATATTAGCAATTTGGCTAGAGTTTGTTTTTTATTTTTAATGTTTTGGTACAATTTTTAAAAACTGAAAACCTGTGGAGAAAATATGTTTAGCTGGCAAAATTTTTTTAAGGTGTTGAAGTAGTTTTTGCTCGAAGTGCACCTACCAAATGACAAATACAGGATGATAAAAAAAACCTTGGATAAGTATTGTTTAATATACTTTCATTAAGGAAAAGAAAACTATCTCAGGTGATTATACATCAATAAATTTTTATATAGATACAGTGGTTCCCCAAAGTGTTTGTTAACTCATAAATTTTATTGAAATAGGGAACTATTCATTAATTAAAATGAATATTTCAGAATGAGTATTAATGTGATGTATAATTTATTCTTAGCAAAACTGCGTGGAATATATTAAAAACCAAATCAAAAGTTTATTTTTAAGACATCAATTATCAAAAAGGTAAAAATGAAAAATTTACATGGTATGTTTTCGGATTTCAAAATTAAAATTATTGTCTATTGCTTTAATATTTTTATTTAATTAATTTTAATCTAATTATTTATTCGTAATTTAGTATCAAACTTATGATAGAAAAATTATATTTTTATTTGCTAACTCCATGATATTTTCTTTTGATCATTTAAAAATGGCTCATATCATAGTCATAATAAAACAATGGACAACATTTGAAAGTTGATTTTTTGTCATAATGGGTAAATCAGTAATTAATATTGCCAAATTAGTTTATTCTGTCCTATTCCACTGGGCAATATGACATAAAATGCTTAAAAGGACTTCATATCGGAGATTAAAATTTGTGGAAATATTAATAAATTCACAATTGAGTGTTGTGTAAAAGTTTCTGTTAACTTCAATAAAAATATTCTGCTCAAATTTTACCTGACAGAAAGAAAAATACATAAAAAAAACTAGTTACATCTCTTCTTTCACCACCACAATCTTTGCCATTCCTAAACTGCACAGTCCCATAGCCTTCTTTAGAGTCAAGGGTTTCTCCATTTAGCAACCAAAGGAGAGTTTTATGTGGCTTTCTAGTTTATCACGGTTATAATAGAGCAAATTTTGATACAAGCAAAGTATCATTAAGTTGTTGATATTTCAACTGTTTGGGGAAGACATTTACATTTCCGTCTAAAAAAAGTGGGTATAACGAATGGTAATAATTTAAATTAATAAAATTTCCAGCCCTTCTTTAAAATTCCCTGATTTTCCAGGTTTTTATCCAAATTTCCCTGATTTTTCCAGTATAAAGAAATTCCCTGATAATTCCAGGTGGGTGGCCATTCTGAATATTATTGCAATTATAATTGATTAAAGAACTAATTTTAAAAAAGCTTAGCGCTAATTGTTTTGTAATAATATAGTAGAGATCCAGAAAACCGGGGAAAAATTTGCCAGGTTTTCCCCATCATTTTCAACTAGAACAATTAAGGAAAAAAGTGTAAATTTAACTTATCCTTAAAGTTGAGTAGAGGAAAATGTGTGAAAAGTAAATTTTTTTATCCCTGTTGAGATAAAACTTGAATATTTGTTCCGTGACCTTGAAGATCTTTAGATCGAGAGGGGCAGAGAAGGGACAAATGTTTTAGTTTCCCCTGTGTCCCCAAAAGAATCGTTTAAATAAGCTGTTGTAAATCAAACTTAAAGGAGTGGCATGTGGATTTTGATTTACGAGGGGGTAGGGGAAATGTGTTGCACAGTTAACAGAAGATGAAAGAGAAATAGAAAAATATATCCTTATACTTTACTAAGTAAAAGTAGAATGGAAATATAAAAACTATTAAAACATGGCTTTTTTTAATTTAATAATATAGTAGAAATGTACTAGAGCTGAATTTAATCATTTAAGAAATGAGAAGAATTTCATAAATCATAATTGAGTAAAAACTTAATTGACTGTGCTTGTGGGGGAATAAAATACAAAAACCATCAAGGTTTGTCCGGACTACAACTAAAATTCATCGAAATAAATTTTTATTATTGGTACAAATTAAATCATTCCAAAGAGTTACAAAACATCTATTAAAATCCAAACTTGAATCGTTATTTTTTTAATAACGATTATTTAAAAAAGGCGTTAAACATTTACCGCTCTTTAAGAGAACATGACGTTTTTTTAAAAAAAAATGGTAACATTTAATTTCAAACGAAACAAATTTTTATCACTCTTTATGAGAACATGACGTTTTAAAAAATAAAAACGAAATAAAATAATAAGTATGAATCTTTTTCTAAACTTTGATCCTGTTAAATTTAGAATCTGGAATGAAAATTCAGAAACTGAACAACGATATCGCCTGAAAGTAAAATGACAGATTCATAAGCCTCAGGAATTGTCAGGGAAAACTAAAAAATTTGGTTAGTTACTCAGCTTTTGTTATACTTGATTTATTAGAACAAAGTGTTTTACAATTTCAGATAATGCATTATTACGATTACTTATTAAGAACAAAACGTTTTTTATTGCCTGTTATTATTAAATTCCTTAGGATAATTTTTAAAATATTTGATAACTTAATGTTATTTTCAAGATCTATAACAGTTAACCTTCCGTTAGTCGCGCGCACCTCACAGGTGCATCCCTACTGCACTTCCACCTCCTTTGCCGTCAATAGATTTTTCCGGGGGTCGAGCCTAATGTTATGTTCCTAACTTTGGATTACTCAAATGTCCGTGTAAAACCGACCTTAGAACATGTCGATGGAGAGTTGGAAAAGTTCAAATCACCCCTCTGGTGCAGCGCGACCATTGACGCAAGTATTATGGATATCATATTTTTATGAATTAAATATATATATTTTATCTCATTTTCTGTCCTTCTCAACGTAGCAGGTATAAATGGTCAAGTTATATACACAGAAAATGGTTACGGAGTAAAAAACCGCAGAACCTTCTTGCGTTAATTGGTTGAACATCTTGTGATGGAGGAAGAGATCCGACGCGGGAGCAAGAAAAATTTATCTTCGGTACTTCGCTAAATAAGTTTTTTGATATTTATCTCTCTAAAGAGTCTTAAATTGGTAACAATTAACTATTTAAACTAGACTAAATTTCATTTGGCTTTCAAAAAATCAGAAACACCTCATAGGTGCAACGCGATTAACCATGTCGGAAACAAGTGCGCGACTAACGGAAGGTTAA